GGGGGCCTTCGCAGGGGAGGAGTAGGGCGGAATGGTCGGATGAGGAGGAGGAGGAGATGCAGGAGGACATAACGCGGATATCCAAATGGACGAGGAGGAGGAGGAGGAGGAGGAGGAGGAGGATGTAAGCGAGGAGTAGCGATCCAGAGAGAAAGCCACAGTCATTGAACTTATGCTAGTGTTGCACGTTTTTCTGCCTCTGGGAGCCTATTTTGGGAGACTCGGAGGGCAGCCTCGAAGGCTTCTTGAAGCATGTTGGAAGTCATCTTGTTCAATCTTGTGCAGTCTTGAGCAATCCTGAGCGATCTTGGAGGCCATCTCTTGGGCTCTATGGGGCCCTCCTGAAGCCATCTTGAACGCCCCACCACCTCGCAGAACGCCCCCTCCAGATCCAGGGGGAGGGCTCCCCGAAGGGGAATAAGGGTGCTAGCAGAACGAGCTCGTCAGACCACGCAAGACAAGAGGGCTGGTGGGACTTGTACAACGGATTTGTGCAGCGCTGAGGTGAGGACAATTTTGAAACTGGCAACCTGACCTGTGCGTGCCTCCTTCTCCTCCTCCTCCTCCTCCTCCTCTTCCTCCTCCTCCTCCTCCTCCTCCTCCTCCTCCTTCTCCCTCCTCAACCCATGTGCGTGGCGCTAAGGCCAAACCGCCATTTTTGAAAGCGAACTGCGCTCCATCTGTGACGCTGCTGCAGACTCTGAGGCGAGAGCCTCGGTTGGGGTAACGATCCCCCCCATCTATCAGTGAAACTGGCACTGACAAGCTCCATGATCATACATGGCGAGGAAGTCGCAGGCGAAACGCCCAGCCCGCCCACCGACGCGTCTGGGGGTGCGACAGGGAGGAGTAAATCAAAAAGAGAAGGCATGGAGGAGGAGGGGGAGGAGGAGGAGGAGGAGGAGGAGGAGGAGGAGGAGTAGGAGGAGGAGGAGGAGGTTGGAGGAGAGGGAAGGAGTATGCGGCTCCAGAAGGCCAGAGGTGCTGATTATGCTGCAGCGTACCGCGCCCGCTGTGCTTCTGGGCGGAAGCGCTTCTGCTCATTCAACTGTTATCGCATGGTACAGGTCGCCGACTGAGCGGAGGCTTACAGGAATCAGTTCGAACACTCGTAGGGGAGAGCTTGTTGGGCAACCTTGCGCCATTGGGAGGCACGGATGACCAGGTCCGCTTGATCGGGGCACGTCTTGCGGATGCATCGTAGACGAGGAGGGCCATAAGTCTAGCTTGTCAAAGGCGTTGCGGCATCTCGCTCGACAGCGTCGGCCTCTGTCAAGCTGCCCTGCGGACGTACGCGTTGGCTCGTTTAGTTGAGAAGGCCTTGGATCCCATCGATTGATTACTTGGGCGCTCTTGCTCGAGAACATCACCATCCTATCCCACTATTTACTCAGACATCGCGCTCTGTCGTGCGAGGTCTCGCGATGTCGCTCTGGGCTTCCCCTCTGCATGTGTGAGCGAATCGTGTCTTCGCTTGGGCCATCCGTATAAGTACGCCCTGGCAACTTCTATCGGCGCTACACCAACATACTTATACTCTATGCGCGTCGCCCCCCGGGGGCGATGCGCGCACCGAGAAATCTTGTAGTACATGCGTCGTGGCGCGCGCTCTCTGGCCACACCGCTCGGGAAACGATGCACTACACGATGGGGATACCGTCTGCTCGGTCCGGACGCGCGCCTCCAAGGAGGGCGCAGAGTACCCATAGAGTGCCAGTCGGTCTCTGTGCGTCCCCTTCTCTTGCGGCGCCGCGCTCTCGCCAGTGAGGCGCCGCCCCTCGCCGCTCGCCCTCCTCGGCGGCGCCCGCCTCTCGGGCCGGGCGACAGGGGGGGATAGCAAAGGGGGGGTTTGAGAATCAGGTCACGTAGCTGATTTTCCCGGCGCCTCCAGGCGCCGGAGGCGGCTATGTATCGAGGAACGGGCCCCTCGGTGAGGCCGAAACCAGCTGCACGCAGCAAATTTCGTACCCCCCCTCCCCTTTCGCCCGGCCCGAGCCTCTGCCACCCCGGACCCGCCCGCAGAGGGGCCGCCCGCCTCGCCTCGCCTCGGCCCCGCCCCGCCCCGCCACCCCTCGCCGGCCCCGTGCTTTTCCCCCTCTGGGGGCCCGCCCGCCCGGTGCGGGGCTGGAGCCAAACGGTGTTTTTTGGCGATCTCGTGGGCCGTTTTCGTTTCTATTTCGTTTTCGTTTTCGATTTCGTCTCGGTTTCGTTCTCGCTTCGATTTTGTTTTTGCTGGGGAGAGGCGACGCGAAGACAAGACGAGGGAGAACGAAACCACAACGAAAACGAGGCACACCGTTTAGGTTCAGCCCTGGTCCGATCCCCCTCCCCATGCCCCTCTCCCTCGAGACCCCCACCAGATGGCCATCCCGGTTGGGCCTGCGCCCCCCGAAGCCCGCAGGGAGCGGCTTATGCATCCCCCATCCAGGGGGGGCAAATCTCGGCCAGTGGGGCCCAGGCCACGCTGCCGGGGGTGGGGGTCGGATGCACGGTTCTCGCG